ACCAGGTCGTCCCCGTTCGACCCAGCTGCCTCGAGGAAGTACGGCGGGTTCGATCTGTAAAAAAATATAATTACGACGATTAGGACCCGAGGAGAATTTCGAGAGGGCCTAGAAAAAGAGGGACTCCTCGAAGTGTCACTCATCGGGGGTAGGGCGTTTGCCCTCTGCAATTACTGCCTTCCCGACTTTCCGACTCGCGTCCTCTCGCCCTCCTCTCCGATAAACCGGGAAAGGGGGATGGAGAGGGAAATCGGGGGCGACGAGAGACGGAGAGAGATAGACCCTGGGAAAAGGAGACGGAAGGGAGGCGTCCGGGGATTTAAGGGAGGGTGCAAGAGGGTGACTCGTCTTTAAGGTGGTCCGACATGGGCTCAGGTGCGGAAGCGAAATAAAAGAGGACCGATGGGCGATTTTGCTCCTGTCTAATCCTGACGAGTCCTGGGGGCGGAAGGATGCGACCTCGGGGTGGGCAACCGAGGCACCCTCACCTGGATGAATGGGCGCCACCGGATGTTGCCTCGGAGGGACGACTTCCACAATTAACTCCCTCATGGGAACTCCGACACACCCTGAGGTAAGCTCCTACATACAATGCTACCTGTTAATTAATGAATTACGAGCATCGACGAGCTCTTCGGTGGTAGTTTTGAAATAATCAAAGCGGCGTAAAGGGGCGAAACTGGGAAAAGATGGAGAAGAAACGGAGGATCCGCTCTTCGGGGTCCTCCGGTCGTTGGATGAAAGGCGCCGGATGCAGTTCTCTTCTCTGTAAATTGACCCGGGATGCAACTTGGGTGGAAAACTATAAATTCTCCAGGTTGGTCCCTGAATTTCCCCCGGGGCGGATGAAAATCCAATCGGGGCCTAAATTAGCGTGGATGAGAAATGGCCCGAAAGGCCGAAGCGCACCACGAAGGAATCCTAAAGGACTCGGAAACGTCATTAATCTCGAGTAAAAAAATCCTGATTATTAATAATTTCAATTTTAATAGAATATCGAGCCTTCGAGTTTACCCCCGATATCCGATTCTTGATGAAATCCGCCTCCTTCCTTTATCTCTCCTCTTTTTCTCCACTTTTCATTCTACTCAGGGGCCCGACACGATCGCTCGATCTGGACCACGCGATGGCTCCTCTTTTTTCCTACCTAGAGCGACGAAATCTCGAAGGCCCCTCGCGAGGTACGAAATCGGGCATTAATTATTTCTCGACGGTTTGACGGGGTGCCGGGAACATGGATTCGGACGGGCACGGGGATTCGATGTGCAACGGGCTCGCCATTATCGCGCTTTCTTCCAGGCTTTCATGGGGAACTCTGCATATGGCGGCTGACCACCCGCCTCGATCTCCAAACTCTCCGTGTAGATATTATTTAAATATTCATGACTCACTCAAGATCAATGCGCTTCGGTTTTTAAAACCCGGTGAAGAAAGGGCTCGATTCGACAATGCAGTCGATCGGCGTCACGCGATCGATCTTTTCTTTTCCACCTGGAGGAGACAGATCTCGCGATGGCCGTTCTTCCTCTCAGAAAACGAGGAAATAAATCCCCGGGTATATACCGTTCTTAAAATTCGAGAGAGACTATTACGTGACGTTAAGGGGAAGTGAAACCACCCTTCAAGTCAGTCGATTCGAGAAAGATCCTTTTTTTTAAGGCTGTCGGATCGAACCGCCCGAAACTTTGACACGTGACTCCTGACCACCTAGGGATTATCCTGACACTTTGAAAGTTTGGATTCTTCAACGATAATTTATTAATTTAGCCCAAACTAGTACCAAAAAGTACAATACTGAATATTATTCGACAAAGTTGTCGATATAAAAACCTAGGTCGGCAACTTAGGTATTTAAAAAAGCCTTTTTTTAACCTAGGTCGATCAAACGTTGCCCGGCGTGTTTCACTTAATCTTAATTCTAATTAATAATAGCTGTGGGTGAGTGGTCGGTGTGCATTTAATTAGTGAAAATTCGGTATTTGGGGGCAAGAAAATGCCGGTGGATTAATGCGAGAGCAGGGTGGTACTAAAAATAGGAAACGGTTTCGGGCCAGGAACGCGATAATACGGTATAGAACGCGGTCAAACACAATGTTTGCCGGCGACGCCCACCCATATTCGCCGGGCTTTTACTGCCGGGCAGTAAAGTACGAAAATTATGATCCGAGCTTGTCACTGCTCCAGGGCAGTGCGAAACTCTCTTCGAGGCCCGGTCGACCGGCCACGCTAAACCACTTACGGTAAGAGGTGACCGGTGCTAAGGAAGACAAAAGGGAGGAAAAAAGTACCGGAGGATGTTGCGGAGGAGAGCCAACCGGCACAATGGCTGGGGCGGAAAAATTCAAACAAGACTTTACACCGAAAGAATCGATCGACTACCGACAAACATGGCCACTCGTTAAATATATTAAATATTCCGATTACCAGAGTGTTTTAAATTGTCGTAAAATTGTCCTCACCCTTTCTCTTCTCATATCAAAGCGTTCGATAATTGTATATTGACCGACACTACACATTACATTTTCGAACCGCCATTTTAATTTCTGTCAAACTTAAGGATATCCAAGGTTGGAAATTGTACGCCGATTGTTTTATCATTTTTAATTCGGAATATCGGTGCTTAGAGTCGGTCCCAAGTTTAATGTGAGAATTTTCGCGTCGGGGGAATGAAGGAAGAGGTCTCTCTGGCCATCCTCTTTAGGGGAGGACCTCGCTCTTGGGGCTGTTGAATCGAGGAGCACGAGGACCCTCGTCCTCCTTCCCGACCTCCACTGGTCTAATTGAATGGCATTTTATTTAGCACAGTTCCCTGCACTCGGGATAGCCGGCATTTACCACAATTACGTAATTCCGCGTACACCGCGGCGTTGCAGGGCCGTTGCACGGCTGTTGCACCGGGTGCCACGGTGCGCCTCTGATGACACGTGTTTGCGCTGCACCCGAGGTGCAATTAGCCCTTGCCGTAATTTCGCGGCGTGCTCTTTCGGTTTGCCGGTGTACCGAGCCAGCTCGGTTGCATCTCCTCGGGAACGGCCCCTTCGTCCAAACTTGAGACGTATTCTGCCGAAACCTCCGGCGAGGGCCATCGACACAAATAAATACAAATAAATAACTTTCCCGATATTTAAAACATTCCTCGCCATTACTTACCTCTGGAAATAATAAATGCCAATGCACATTCGAGTAGGGGCAGGTGATTTTTCAAAAACGGCGGAACCGATCGGGTTTAAATTTTGGCACTATATTCAGCAAACACGTGGCTATCAGCTATACCTCGATCACGGTGAAATTTTAATTTTAACTCATACTTTTAGTTGAAAAATGTGTAATTTTTTTCACGACCAAAAAATTGAGGGAGCGGCTCGAAAATTAAACCTTAAATAGTGGCACTCGAGGTGACGGCACTCCGGTAGCGGATTAGCGATTATGTCTCGGGGCTCGACAAAGGGTGACGAAAGGACCGAGGAAGCCGAAGTGTCGCGTATAAATTTCAGGAACGCGATTCCAGGCCGAGATAGGACGGCGCAAAGTCAACAAGTTGTCCTTTCGCCGTGGGTCCTAATTGGCCATGGAGGTCCTGGGAAGGGTGGCGGTCGTTCGGGGGCCTCTTCGGGGACCTCTTCGCGGTCCACGGCTGGTCCGACCTGGCAAAGTGGGCCACTCGAATCGATGACACGTCGGTAAACACGCCGAGGGTCGCCGCTCGGGTCTCGGGACATTGTTCCGAAAATCGGTTTACAATGGTCCCGGTCGAGGTGCGCCACCCACGGTCGAGAAAGATGAACGAGATCGAATCCGGGAGATCCCCGGGTCCCTGGGTCCAGGTACGGAAAGGAGTCGAAAACGATGCACCGGGTCTTCGAGCTCCTCATTATCTACTTAAATTACATAAATATATTTACGGTGGAAAAATCAAAAGAAAAATCTCGCTTCGGGTGGACTTTTTATTGGGAGGATACAAACGTTACTTTCATTCCAGACGCGGTAAACGATACATTTGAAATCCTAGGCGTGCTAAAATCGGACTTAAAGATATTACAAGGTAGTCGGAATTCCTCCGCGGTGCGATAAGATCCCAGGGATCGAAATTCCTCGGACGAGTCGCCAGGCGTCACCTACGGCATACAGCAAACGGTGAGTATAAACAAAGGCGGAGAATATCGGGACGAAAACATGCCGTTGGGTATAAACAAAGGCGGAGAAAACTCGGGGACGAAAACACGGTCCGCGCGACCCAGGTCGGCGATCGGGGAGAATTCCGCGAAGTCGTCGCTCGGCATGGTCCAGGGGTCGGCGAGGGGCGCGCTCGGTGCCGGGTGGGTGTGGGGACCGACGGCCACGACCAGCGGCACCATAATGGCCTCCCGGGGGCCAACGCGCGGCCGCGACGTCACGGGGCGCCCGGCGCGGCGCGGAGTGGGGCGCCAACTGGCGCGCTCGGTGGGCTCGGGAGGCGTGGCGGGCGCGCGTGGCGCCGCGGCGGCGAGTCGGGGAACCCCGCGCCGCTCGGGGAGAGGCTCGCCGTTCATTATGTATCATTATACCGGTCCGCGCCGCGCGGTGTGCACTGCAGTTAAGGCCCGAGCGCGTGTGTGTTCTACCTTGCACCTCGTCGTCGCGCACCCGTGCGGAGCCCAGCCGGCGCGCGCGGGCATCGGACTTTTTTCCCCGGGCGCGGTCGCGACACCCAGGGCGCCGTCTCCGAGAGTCGTCCCCGGGACCGCGTGCGCGCGTGGATGGCCGCGGCCCCGCGGCCAGCCGGTCTTGGGTCGACGCGATGCCGGAGCGGCGGCGCGCCCGCCCGCGCGCGAGCTGACCTCCGGGGAGCGGACTGTAAGCCTGGGCCGACGCGGGTGAAGTGACGCGGTGTGATCAGTGCTCCCAGTGGCCGTGGGTCCCGCTTCCTTCCCAGGGGGTGCCCGGGACTCGGACTCTAGCGACCCGAGGACGACGCGCGTGCCCCGGCCCCAAGATTCGGGCCCCCCCGGGCGTCTCGTCGGCGGCGTCGGCGAGATCCGAGTGCGTCGTCGACGTCGCGTCTAAGGTGGAGCGTCCGGGCAGCACGACGACGCTCAACTTCACGGACCTGGGGAGCCCATTCGGGGCGGGCGACCCCTGTCCGTCGAGCACCCCGACCCCCAACAGCATGTCCGGCGGGCCCTCCGCCGGCGGCGGGGGCGCCGCCGGCGCCGGCTCCGACATGGACCAGCACCTCCACCACGCCGGGCTCGGGTCCGTCACCCCCGGCCCGCCCGGGGCCAATGGCGGCGCCGAGAGCGCCTCCAGCACCCCCGTCAGCCAGTCCGGCAAGTCGGCCTTCATCGAGCTCCAGCACAACAACCTCTACAACCCCGCCAGCCTCCGGGGAGGGTACCCCGGGGGCCACAACGTCCCCGGCGCCCACCAGTTCCCGCACCAGGTCGGCTCCCTCGGACACCAGGGCTCCGCTCCTGGCGGCGGCAACCAGCAGCACGCCGACGCCGGGTTCCCCAGCCCCAGGTCCGCCCTCGGCTACCCCTTCGCTCCTATGCACCAGCACAACGCCTATGGGTACCACCTTGGGTCCTACGCCCCCCAGTGCCCCTCGCCGCCCAAGGACGGTGAGTACCCCAACTGTATGTATTCCATGCTTTTAATTACTATTATAGGGTTAAGGCCTAGAGTAAGCGCGAGGTCTAACCTCCTCCTCGGGTCGTTCCTCGGACGCTTCCTTGCGAGATTTATTTTTCCTACTTTATGCCACTCCGGAGACTGGGGACTTCCATTATATATGTTCGTTGCATTATTACCACAATGAACGCGTTAACCGTGGAAATTATTTTCCTAAGTTTGTGGAAATTTCTTTTTCTTACTTTCGTCGTCGCGATGCTTTCGGGCTATCGTAATTGCCTTTTTCTTTTTTTTTCTTCGCGCCGGGGTGAGGGGAAATTTGAAAGGGTGCGGAATTTTCTGGGGAGAGAAATTCGTTCCGCGCGGAAAGAACGCAGCCTCTCTTCGGGGCGCCGCCGCATGGCCGAGTCTTTGGTGGCACCTGTTAGGATGCTCCTGGACGTGGATTGTGATTTAGTCTCTTGGAGGATATTTCGAAATATGTGCGGAATTGTTTCCGTAAGTCGGCGGAAATATCGAAACTCGAAATTCGGCCGATTTCCAGGGTTTTCTGCAGGTTGGGGTGGGTCATGGCCGACCTCCCGTCGGCTGCGCCACGGTGCCCGTAATCGGCGCAATTTGATAAGGGTAATCAATGAACGGGGAATACGGATCTGCAATTCGATATTCGATTTTAATATTGGACTATTTACCGGAATTGTAAGGATAGTCGGACTCGGGGACGGGGAACCGTCGGACCCGCGGTGTGCGGTCGGACCTGCACTCGGTGCAACAAATGCATCCTGGGGTTATGTCTTCGTAATTTTAAGCGAAAGGTTACCTTCTTCTTCTTTTTTTTTTTCTTTTTTTCCTCACCTAGAACTTCGATAAGTGCACTTTGTTGCTTGGAACTTTGAGCCGTCGGAGGTAGGGTACCCTGAAAGAAAGTCCAACTAGAACCGTCGAGGTTCCCCTTTTGGGAAAGTTCCACTCTGGGAATTCGATGCTTCTTGCGAGCATTGAAGATTGTAAAAAATTACGTCGATTTTAATGTATCACTTCAATCGGACGATACTTCGCGAACCGTCGCTCGGCAATGGTATCGCTTTTAAATATAATAAATAAGATTCTCACCCGGGATAAGTAAACGGGAAGAGAGATGAAATAATTCCAGGCGTTCCTCCGAGATGGAGGGACTTTGTAATCGTTGTTAGTGAAAAATTGTTTACGGAAAAGTGGAGGGGAAGTAAGATCGATATCGAAGGATGGCGATAAGCGGGAGGACGCGGAAATCTAGGACCTTGGAGAGGGGCGCCAGGACGAAGAAGTCGGATTCGACGGCTCGGGGAAGGCGAGGTGAAAAGAAAAAAGGAAAAAAGGAGAAAAAAAAAAAGAAAAAGGAGGGAACGGAAGAGAGACGGAATCTGGAGTAGCAGGTAGTGGCCGATCGTCGGTCGTCGGCCTGGTAGAGCACAATGCCACCAAAGGGAGGAGATATACGACCTGGAGGGAGAGCCCCGGGTCCCGCGAAACTGCCAGGACGGAAACAAAAAGTCCGGGCTCTGGTTCTCGCCGAGGAACAAAGTCCCGGACCGGGGCCTCTTCTTCTCACGGAATTCCGCGGACGGCCCCGACCGGGTAGGCCGCGTTCCGTCCGGATTTCTGCGGAGAGAAATCCCTCACCGAGGGCATAGGACGTCGGGAGACGCAACCCGGGATTCGGGGGAACCTGGGAACCGGGAATATTCCAGGGACAAGGAAACGAGACGATTTTTGAACTTTTCCCCAAAGTGGGTGCGCCGAATTATCTGAAACTTTAACGGGCGATTATGGAGACCAATGGAGGTTTCATTATGGAGAGACCTCCTCGACGGCACTTTCGCATCACCTTAAGATCGATCGGCGATCGATCCCGACCGACGTTAATCTCGCCACCGGTCTTGGTAACGTAGGTGTAAAGTAACGAGGAGGCATTAATTAATTTAACCGGAGAGGCCCGACAATGGCCGGGTCTCTCCTCGGTCCTTGAACCGCGGAACGTCGACGACCGCCAACCCTTTTCTCTAGTGAATCTTTAATCCCCGATGAGGAGAGGCCGACTCCCGTGGACGGTTTCCGCAGGGTTAATGTCGTATCCCGAGGAAAATCGCCGATAGGGGCCTCCTCTCGGGTAATCTCGCCGTGGAAATAACCGGGTGCATCCTGGACGAACGGCTACCCCGAGGTACCGACGAGCCTAGGGGGTCTACCCTCTCATTTCCTCGGTTATCCCATTCAGGAATAATGCAACGACGTAGTTCTCTCATTGGCCGCCGATTCGAATGATCGGGAATTGCCTTACTCCTTGGAATTATTCAGCTCTTATTATCCAAGGATTATCGGTAATGCAGTCTCGCGAGACGAGTTTGCGCGAACGCCTTTTTAACCCTCTGAACGCGGAGCCATTTCGACATATGGGCGAAATTCCTCTGACCGTGCAGGCGATATTCGACCAAACGTCGGACGCCTTTAGGCTCTCCTAGTAGCCAATGGGTTGAGGGGATCCTCGTGAGATTTCATTTCTTCGACGAGGATACGCCTAAAGGCGCCCGACGTTTGGTCGAATATTGCCTGCACGGTCGGACGAATCTCGCCCATATGTCGAAATCCATCCGCGTTCAAATAGTTCCACGAAATTCCAATTTAAAGAAAGTAAGAAATAATAAGTGCATCGAAAACTTTTCCCCGGTTTTGCGGATCGTTTAATTGCGCATCCCCGATCGCTGCGTTATCATTGAAGTACCGCACCTGAAGTAATTACCTCGCAATGTGCGGCCGATTCGTACGATTAGGATCGACGACCTTACTCCTTACAATAATTCAAGACCGTAGGCTTATGAAGATATATATCTTTCTCTTGATTACTGCTAATCGCCGACATGCCAATTGAATACCGATAGGAGTGCCCATTCAGAACAGTCGCCTTGATACAATCTGACGTCTAAACATACCCCCGGCGATACGTTGCGTCGCCATTTTCACGAAACGGCAATCAGAGAATTTCAACTATTTCGTCCTAGATGAAGAAATAACATTTATTTCGCCGTTTTAGTTAACAATTGGGGGGAAAACCTTAACGAAGCGGCGAGGCTTCGTGACATCTCATTTGACGGTCGGGAAGGAGTTATCTTTAGAGATTTGCATTGACAAAACGGGAATCAGGTCCTACCGGGGCAACCCCTTAATTTCCTCGGTTATTCCACTCGCGGTCGGACATAATGTGCCTGGAGTCATTATGTCATTATACCCCGATTCATGTGATCAGGATCAGTGGCCTTACCGTCTAAAGACAATTCGAGCCTCTACTTTTCATTACCTCCTATCACTGCCTGGAAGGTCGTCGACGGTCTAGATCGCGGGTCCGCCACTTTTTCCCCCAGGAGGTCCTCCCCCTCGAGGGGATCCTTCTTCCTTCGGAGGTAACCTCGAGGACCTTGAATTACTCCTGGAGGCAATTCAAGGGTGACTCCCTCGATTTTATTTTTTAACAAGGAGTTGAACGATCTTCTTTGGTTTCAGCGTTATCGCTTATCAAGAGGGTGTCGATTAAATGGCGAACTCTAATTCTCGCGACTCGGGGAAATTGAGCCATTATCGCGGGTGGATTAACTCGCGGATAATTGATAACGCGATTATATACGCACTCGTGACTCCCCCGCTTACCTGTGACGTCGGTACGCGATTGTTTAATTAATGAAATAATAAACATTGTTTAATAATGACGGCTCGCGTAATTGCCGCCGGGCACGCCACGCGTGCATCCTCGATGACCCTACGTGTCGGCATTCAGGGACGCTTCTAGTAGAAGGGTAAGGGGCATTGGGTGAATAAAAGTGTGTAACGTACTCGAATGATAGCGAGATTTACATCCCGGTGGAAATTGCGAGACTTCCGCGAGCAGGGAGGACGCAGAAAGTCCAGGGAAAAGAGGGGCACCTGCTGCCTTCGGCGTTCCATCTTCTTGCGCGGGATCCAAGATGGCGGCCGCGGACATGTGGACGGTCCATTAAGGACGCGTCGTCGACTAGGAGCTGGAAGGACGGGATCCAATTAGCGGGAGCACGGTTAGGGGCATCCGACATTAGTCACCCTGGACCCTGGAAGAAGGACCGACCGGGAATTAATCCGTGAACGCCCGAAAGACAATGGCCGCCCGGAGGCCGGGTGATGGATTAGACATTAAACGGTTGTTTTCACAAGGATTAGGTCCACGACCGGGAGCGGGACCTCCCGAAGGACCCTCGCCTAAGCCCCCAAGGACTCCGATGGTCCTTTTTGCCTTCCCTCCTAGTCGTGTTTCCTCGAGATCCTAGATAAAGGAAGCTTCCTTATTACAAGGCACATTTACAAAATTATAACAAAATGTTATAAAATTCTGAATTTATTCAGAAGTTTGCAAGAAATATATACGGTATTCACTTTTAAGACGTCAGATTTATAATCTTGTTACAACTTCATGTACCGAATGTGTATGAATTTTTTTAACAGGGTGTACAACCTCGACCGCGTAATTACATGTATATCGAGATATCGGTTCGACTAGTCGGGGTTTAAAATCGATCGATTTCTAAATCCCGATCGGCGATTGGCTCCTCGTAAGCGGCGAGAGTTTAACGACTGTACGCGGTAATCCCGGGTAATTGGCCGAGTGCTAATTTTCGTGATGAGCGGTAATTAATTAGTAAGCACGATTAAATCGTGCGGGCCGCGAGAACCTAAGTGCACACCAGTGCGCCCTGCCACGAGCCCGATGCACCTACGAGTGCATTACCCTGTCAGGTGCAGGTGAAATGTATACCAGCCAAAAAGCGAATGGAAATGCGGGGAAAGGGGGAGCCGGGAGTAACTTGGCTAATTAATTGGCCGCGAAAGTATTACACACGATTCGGGCCCGATAAACCCGCGTTATCATAAGGGAAGACGCGTACAAAGGACACGGTAGCCGCTCTACGTCACAGCCCTACTTCAATCGAGTGACGGATTAAATTCTAATTGTTAATTAGGAGGTCGACACCAATGCTGGGCGATCGGGCATCGGGATTAATGGCGCGGTTCCCGAGGGAATATTCCGAAATAAACGGGGACACCGGGCGGAGTAGCCACTGAAAAATTTATCGGCCGTGACTTTGTCGGCGCGTTATTTAACCATTAGCTTAACATTGGATTTAATTAACGAGCGTTAACCCGCGATTTACGGACTTCTCGACCCCCTCTCCCGGAACGAGTGCCCGTGATTTATCGTCACCGGGTCCTTCCCGTTCGATCGCTCCTCCTGGGATGATCCTGACGGGAGTCCCTCACCGCGGGTAGCAGTAAATTTTCGACTTTGCCGATAAATTTTCACCTACGCTCGCAATATCTCATTGAGGTCGTAATTTAGTACCGGCGAGCAGTTAAAGTCCCACGGCGACGGGATATGCAGGAGATGATTTCAGTTGAATAGAAACAACGCGGCCGTACAAACATTCCTGCGAGTAACCACGGTGGAGTTTAGTGACTGGATTCATGACGAAATGTATTTCAAGCAAGATAATGCAGTCCGAAAGACAAGAAGATCCCCGAAGACTCGGCCTGGGCCCGTTTATATAAAATTGACGTTACGTTTTCTTTTTTTTTAATTTTTCATTTATCAGAGAGCGATTACCTCGAGGTCTCAAACTATTCGGTAAACCGAATTGGGAGAAAAGTTTTATAAAGAAAACCCCTTCGACGTCACTTTCACATCACTTTAAATTCTAAGAACGACCCGATCAGCGAGAAAATCGGGTTTGGATGGATTTTATGCGTCCACTTTTTCTGGATGCATTATTTTTTTTTCTTTCTTTCTCGTTTTTTGGGGGGCGCTTTTTTTTCTCGGCGACCTCGCGGTGCAACGTCGGGTTTAAGTTGATTTCTCTTTAGTTCCGGCGCCTGTTGAGCCGAGGATTCTGAAAGTTGATGTCAGGGTGGTGCATGTTCGCAGACCTCTCGCCGTTGGGCGACAAAAGCGGGAGCCTCGTCGACGAGCTGGGCGGCGGTGGCGGCGGTTCCCTCAGGAACGGGAAGGGCAAGAAGATGAGGAAGCCCAGGACGATCTACAGCAGTTTGCAGCTCCAGCAGCTCAACAGGCGGTTTCAGAGGACGCAGTACCTCGCGTTGCCGGAGAGAGCCGAGTTGGCGGCGAGTTTGGGCCTCACGCAGACTCAGGTGAGTCGTCTTTTCCATGTCCACCTCTTGGACGGCGGCCATTTTGGTACCGCGCCTTGAGCTCCCCTGAAGAGCTATACCACCGTGGACCTCGAAGAAATTACACATTTTTGACAATTTTATTTTTTTTTCTCCATGAAAGGTCTAGGAGAATACAGGGGAAATTTTCTCTTTAGTAAGAAATACATATTTATTCGTTTAATGTTACAAACGTAGAGCGGTGAAAAAAAATCGTTCACAGTGGTATGGCTCCTTAAGGCGATGAGTAAGTTATCGCTTGAATGTGGAGACTCTAAAGAAGGTCCTGAGAATGAGATTTTATGTTATATGGAAAAAAAAAAAAAAAATGTGAAAATGTCTATAAATTAAATTTTTAAATAGTGAAGTTTCACGGGGGTTAGGACCTTCTTAATAGCCTCCACGTTTATATTGAACTGTATGAATTATGTGTATATACAGAGGCGAGTCTCCTTTGGAGAGATCTCGATAAGGGTATGTTAACCCGACGTACGTTTCGTACATACGCGCCTTACTCTTTTTTTTTTTTACCCGAGTACGGTTCTGTGAACGTGGGCACGTAAACCGTACATATTACATAAACGCCGGCGCGTTCGACTATTTATGGGTTGCAAAGATCAAAGCGAAGCCGTTTCTCCGGGAACTCGGGGAAAAAAAGAACGTCGGCGAGTGTCCCTTAGCCAGGGGCGACACGCGATACTCGGTGAAATTCCAATTTTCCGCCATAAATATCCGTCGTACCGAAAACCCATCCAGACAAAACTCGTTCCCCGGATCGTGCCTCGCGGCTTTTGTTGGAGACACTTTTTCGGGCGAGGCCTCGTTAACCCGGAAAATCCTGTTGACCCTAGGACACCGAAATAGGCGCGCCGAGAGCCAGGGAAGGTCCCTGCCACTTTTCGTAGACTTAGACCGAATGGAAGGACTTTTATCGACTAGAGGGGCCCTAGGTAACATTTATTGGGATCGGTCTCGCAACGTGGATCGGACTTTTGACTATCGACCAGGAGTAAATGGGACCAACCGGGTCCAGCCAGGTCCTGTTACGGGGCTTTCTCGAGGTCTAGTAACCGGACCCTCGGATGGACGGCATCTGTCGGCGTTATCGGCACAAATGACTTACTAAATCACGAATTCGCCACGCCCTGGACACCGGGGATAGGGTTGCCGAAGTGTCCAGTGCGCCGACCGCGAGTGCTCGGGCTAACGAGGCGACCATAAATTTCGCCCTGGCGAACCTCTCCCGGGCGCTCGTCCGAGCGGTCTCTCGCCGAGTCGGGAGAGGTCCACCTTTGGAATCGTCACCCTCTCCCAGGACGCGGTTTCCGGTTAGCGATTTATGGCTCGACTGCCAATTAAGCCCGAAAACGCTGATTGCGGCCTTTCGCGGCTCTTCGGGCCCCGTCAAGGACGCCCCGGAACCTTGTCCGTCTTTGCTCCACTTTCGGGCCTCCACGGTTTTCGCCATTTTTTTTTTTACTCCTTTTTCGCCATTTTAAATACAAACAAGTATGCCGGAATATTTCCTCCCTAAATACACCCGCGTGGGAGACCGACTCTCCGTATAATCGGAACTGTTAACCTTATGAATTTCATATATACACGGGGGACATTTGGTCCACAATTGCTTGCCCGCGTCCAGGAATTTCGCCCATATGGGGAGAGCGGGTCGATGCAACAGAATCTGGAAAATTTTCATACTCGCGGGAAAGTGCGGACACTTTATTGCAGGTTAGAGTCGAGATTGATGAAATCGATAGGCTGACGGTTAACAGGGAGAGGAAATATTGCCCGTGAATAATGGCGATAAGCGCGTTAAATCGTCGTTTCTGATTTTTCTTCTTCTTTTTCTTTTTCTTTATTCCGGTACTACTTTCCCATTTGCCTCGATCAATTCATGGCCGCGGCTTTACGAGGGCGCATGCGACTCGTTATAACTGGGGAAATTAATAACCTTGGGTGCATTCGTCTGAGGGGAAAAAGAAACGAGCGATAATAACCCGTAGGGAAGCAGATGATGCTCGCGAACTCGGAGATAACTGGTGAGCGTAATCGTTGGATAACCAGTGATAGTAGTTGCCGATGACCGGCCGAGGGGTCCCGGACCGGATAATTTCATTAGACTAGATCTCTCCTCATCTGGGGGCATATCCCCTCTTTTACCGTCCGTAATATTTGCAGTATATCGAGACACGAGCTCGCCGAGCCGCGGATAATCGCCGATATCCGCGCAATTTACCCACGGTAATGAGGCCCCGAGATTCGCGGTGTGTGGCGGGGAAAGAATCGCCGCGATTCGGGATTTATTACTATGCGGCACCTCGAGAAATCCCACATTTACACCTTGGATCCAGAAAACAAGGATCTACGAGAAAAAGTCACCTCACGCGACGCTTAAAATTATTATCGATTTTTTCGACACCGTTGAGAAAGCCAAAAAAAAAAAAATTCATAAAATTCCCACGCCTGTAGTTATAAAATTATAATACTTTTCTTCGTAAACGGTGAGGAGTACTTTTTAACGGGCGCAATTAAAATCCCCGCGGAAAATCGTGCGGAAAATCCCGATGGTCGTAACGACCGAGCCGACGTATAGGGCGGATATCGGAACGCCTATCGGGGATTTTTCTCGTCCCCGGTAAATAGCCAGAGAGAAAATTTCCGCAGCCTGAGAGAGAGAGAGAGATTCTAGAGAGCGATCTCGAGCGATCGGCCATCGATCTCCCGTCTCGGGGAGTCGCACTTCATAAATATTAAATCGAGCCCCGGGATCGCCCTGGGGATCGGTCGATCGGGCGTCGATCTCGACGTCTTCGAGGTACCCGTGGCGCCCGAGGTGCTCACGGATACCTCGAGGTACACCCCGGGGTACCGAAGGCGTTGCGAGGCTCCTCAGGAGGTACCGTGCATAATCCGTAATCGGCCAATCAAGGCGTCCGGTCGACCGCGAGCTACCGTCCCCGGTTTTTCTTGTCATCGCCACCAAGATGGCGCCTCTTCCTCCTCGGCTGGTCTCTTCCATCTCCCCTCGGACCTCTCCGCCGTAAGGAAAAGAAAAATCTCCCGGAAGCAGACGATATATATATATATATCGAGACATGAGATTGGACGCGTCGTTTATTCGGAATTCCTGACGAATTGTGAAACGACACATTGCGAGAGAGGTTAAGTATCAACGGGCCAGGGAGTGTGGCTTTAAATCGCAAAGTATAGGTATCGATGTTACTTGCTTATGTCTCCCCGGCGATAACCGGCACATACGAGAGTGCCGAGTTCTCAGACCGAGCCCTACGTTCTCTAAGAGAGCGCTACCAGGAGAGAGAGAAGGAGAAATACCGAGTCCAAGGTAAAGGCATCGTTCGGTTTTTCTAAAGACCTACATCCCCGATTCGTGGACGAGGGTATCGATCGTACGGTCCAATAAAAGTGGTACCAACGACTTGTCGACCTATCGTACGTGTGCCTCGGCGTGCCTACCACGTTCCTCGAACGTGCCGATGCCTTTCTTGCTCCCTCAAAGGGTAGCCGCGGTCTCGGTCTCCTCCGCGAGGATTCCGTCGAGGATTCGGCTCCTTGGCCGAAAGGAAGGACGAGGATTCCATCCTTCTTGCCGGGGCCCGATTCCTCCTCCTACCTCCTGGCTGGATTTTCATTTTCACCGACCACGTTCTTATTCTCTTTTTCCTTCACTCCTCCTTTTTTTTTTTTCCGCCGCCGCCGGATTTCCTTGACATTGCCGCGATATAGGGAAAAAGCTCAGCTTACGACTGTAGTTGGCCTGTGTTTTACGACGCGGACTGTTGGATTGCATCTTGATTGTAAAACGAGTTTGATTAGGAGTGCGCAGCAGGTGCGAATTACGTCGCTCGTCTTCGAGGTATGTCGGGGACCGGGGGACATCGATGCCTCTGATTTCTGCACAAGCGAGGCGATATTACCGGGAAGGCGCTCGGGCTCGTCTGCGTCCGTTCGCGATGCGATGGGGTGATTTTGTTAAATTATTTATATGTCGTGGTTGTTCTTTTAAAGATACCTCGCACACCTTAGAGTCTCGTACCTCGAGAGCGACATTCTGGATGGGTATTTACATGAATATTAATTTAGCCCGTATATATATTTTTTTTTTCATTTAAATGAAGTTTAAAGATCCCGATCGCGATTTCGTTCGGTCGTTCCGCGAGTTTACGAGTTAATTCCATTTGCGGGGAATTTCGCTACGGATATGTCGTAAAGGGGAGCAGTTTTCGCTAGTTTGCCGCGCTGGAGCGAAGCGAGCGTCCTTCTGCCTTACGAAATGTCCCGACCCTGTAGATGGACTGGCGGATAACTATTTTCCATGCATAAACGCTTTCGTGCTCGCACTTGCGTACTCCCATGTGTCGATACGCGTATACACTCGTGCAGAAAATAGACGCGCGGTCTCTCTCTCTTTGCAGCTTCGTGTTGAAATATTCAAGAAAAGCCGCCTTTAATGCCGCTCTAGCTGCCGCTCCCGAGTTCCCTCGAGCCTAACCGAATCGATTCGATCCGAGAAGGGGTTAGCTCGGGTCGGACGCGCCGATCCGGAGATCCAGACGAGAGCGATAAAGATTTTTCGACCCTGCCACTGTCCTGCCTCGAATATTTCGACTTCCGTCCCCCGAGTCACCTGGACTCGATATATCGAAAAATTAAGACTCGATACATCGTAAAATTAGGAAAAGGGATATATGAGGATGTTAAAAAAAAAAGGAAGGGTTAAGTTCCAAATAAAGCGCGTACCTCTGATTAACACTATTTCTACCAAAGGTGTAAAAAGGCACCTTTTAAAATTGTAACTTGAAATTATTTTCAAAGTTTAATAATTTTTTTCTCAATTAATGTCTTGAGTTTTCGTATAATAATTGTTGAATTTATTTAGCGGTATCATTTTCCTCCAGCTCGTCGAAACTTTTCAGTCGAAATAGGTGTACACAAAATCGTGGGAGAAATGGTGTTAATTT